GAGTCAGTAGTGAAACTTTGGAGATCCTACTGTTTTCATCTTGTGCACTTTTCTAATACAATTTTACATATTATTTCTACTACTGTATTGTTTTTGATATCTGTTTGGATAATCAAGTATTCACCTTTGGAATCACTAATATTCAAAACTCGCACACCATACTAATTTAACATCTATCAGATATTTATTCTTTGTACTCTACTTGTTCCAGCTTTTCAAATATGCTAATTTCACATTTCTAATTTTCAGTGTCAGTAATGCATGCCTATGATTTCACAGAATAAATGTATTTTTCTATATAACATTAAATTTGAGATTTGTCAAAAAAAAGTGTATCGCCATACTCTTTTGATCAATTTTGCATTTTGTCACTTGGCTTTCATAGTCATAGTCTTTCCTAAAATAATGGCTAGAAAATGTTTACTTAGAGCACCTAAAAGTATTTTCAACGAGTACTGAACATATACATTTTAGAGAAGTCTATCCATCATTCTAAAGTACAGTTCTCAGAGTAGAAAACTATATCAGATATTAGATTTCTTATTCTAAGATCTATTTTAACCTTTTTTATTGAATAAATCTTAGTAGTATGTGATACAAGATTGTATACGCTCCAAAGGTTTAAAAAATGTCTGATACTTATTTAGGTCATCTAGAAACTAGCGATTCTTCAGTAACCAGGCCTCTTCCTAGCATGGAGCTGTCATGCCTGTGTTGGTCATCTGTCACGTGAGGTTGCTTGTGCCAATGAATATTGTGTTTGAACACTGGAGTCCAGTAGGACATTCCTAACGTTGATATATTTTATTTTGTAGATTGCGCTGAGGGGTCCCCCTGGCCCAATGGGTCTAACCGGAAGACCAGGTCCTGTGGTAGGTTCCCCAACAAGATGATGTGTGTTTAAATCCCTAAAATAGCAGTTCCGTGGGCAGCTTTGTCCACGCAGTGTTCATACCTCTGGCTGGTGAAACTAGGGTGTATATATACCAACTCATGCTTAATTTTCTTTCCATTTAAAAAATCTATTAGAATGGAGACCTCCGTAAATTTTGATGAAAATGAATTTTTTTTTGTTTCAGTGAAAAGTTTTCAAATCAAGTAAATACCATGAAAAATATAGTCACATATTCTAATGCTAATTTTTCTACATATAAATATAATGTATTTGTATAATATTCAGAGTTACTAAAATTCAATTTTACATTAAATTCTTAAGACTTGATTTTATGCTAAACAGAATTTTCCGTAATAAAAGAAAAAGTATTTGAGGCCAGTGAAAATTATTCCATCATATTAGGAGCAAACAGGAGACCTGGCTTACACTCAGACTGCCTGCAGTATTCCACACAGTGATCCAGACACTGGAGAAATTATTTGTCTTTTAGAGACTTGGAAAATAAGTGTTTGATTTTCCTTACTAGCTTGCTAATATATTACGAATATTTTTAAAAGTATCTTCAAATCTTATGAAACCTACTAAGCAGTAAGCATTGTAGCAATCCACAAAATGCAATTTTTTTTTCAAACCATATTGTCTTCTTTAGAAAAAAAGAACACTGTAGGATCGCAACCCAAGTTCTCATTGATTTTAGAATTAATGGGATAAATAATTTCTATTTTAAATATTTGTTTTTCAATATAAAAAGTCATGTATACTCTGCTTTTTATGATTTTATATGCTTTCAATATGCTTTATTGAAATAGGTATTTATAGAAATTATAGACCTGAAAAATGAAAATCTTATCTTGGATTTACTTAGTGGACACATAGCAAAACTATTTTATTCCAGTTTAATCAAGTACACAATCTTCTGCTTAATTCCTTTGACTCTTATTAGGATGAGGGTAAAAGAGATTTACTATTGTATTTTATTGAAGAGTCTGTTATGTAGTTTTACATATATCTACAATTCTCTTAATTCAATCTTGAAATTCCATAACATTGCATATATTTTGAAGGGCTTTACGCTCAATCATATGAGCTCATGTGGAATGTATGTGCTGACAATATGTCCCACAGAATGTAAATTATACATAGTTCTATGTGCGTTATTAAGTGTTATCATGTATTTTTACTGTTCTGCCTCTCACAGTATGCTAATTTCACATGGGAGATTCTATGCTACTTAACAAGGGAAGAAATAGTGTTAATATTTAATGGCTACTTAGTGATAACTCCAGTTTACCTGATGAGGGAACATCAGAAGCAAATTAGTGCTTTACAGATTTGGGCGCAGAGGGTTACTTTATATTTCATTAAAAATAAATGCTCTTGAACCCTGAACTTGAGACTCTGATGATACAGGTTCAGGGTCGGAAGAAGCAAACTATAATTTTAAAGAGTTCACCGGCTTGATTCCTATAGTCAAGAATGTTTGGAAAACACTGACATGTATTACTTTAAAAATATTAGTCTGGGACCTCTAACACTGTCTTTTCCAAAAGAATTTTCCTACTTATCATCCAGACAAACACAAGCCTAGTGGATTTGTAGCGGGTAAGGGCGGTGGGGAGCAGAACCAGTAAAAGCAGAGAAAATTGGCACCTCCCGATTCACCAAACAGTCATTAAGGGTCACATCACATGGGCAGAAAGATATAACATTGATGACCGTGTGCGCATTCTCAGTGTTACATCCAAGATGAATGAATTTTACTACTTAAGTCTTTGTTATGAGAAGTATCAGGTTCCTTAAATATTAAAGGTAAGTAATGAGAGAAAAAAAGTCACGTTGCTTCTTTTTACCATTTTCTCTATTATTCTTTGCTCCAAAATATCCAATTATTACACACTTTCAAATATCTGTTAACGCTAGAGTCCAAAAAATTTTATACGTTAAGAATTTAAAAAGAAATAGAGACTACATCAACATTTTAAGACAAATATGTACATTCTTCCAATGAAAAATTTCTTTATTCAATTGTTTTTTCCCCCAACAGACAAATGGGAGCTTAGCTTATAAAATATACAGGAAAGGTAGAAAATGTCTTTTTTCCCCGTCCTGTTACTCTCAATTATTGCATGACAATTTTTAGAATAAGTGTTTGGGCAAAGTAATTATAATCTCTTGAGTAGGTAGTGCTTATATACAGAGGACATAATGCAGCAAATTAATTAAAATAAATCGAGTGCCCTAGCATTCAATTCAGTGATTAATAATCAGATTTAATGTGGAGCCCAGTTTTTCTCTGGAAGACATTTGCTTGTAGGAATTCTTAATTAGAAACTTGAAAGTCATAATTCTTGTCACTTTCAAGGTTAGAATATTCCTGTTTCTGTCTTGCCCTATTTCTCAGGAGTCCTATGAGTAGTTATTTCGTTGGAGCCACCAGGAGGCGCTAGAGAACTAACACTTTCAGACAGCAGCATTTTAATTTTTCCCACTTTGATTCAGTGCACTATTAATGGAATAGGAATTTGATTTAAATGAACCCTTCACTTCTTAGACACACAAAGTATATCTGTGTGGCATGAAGAAACTATCACCACCAGGTTCAGTTGTAATGTTCTAAACCTTTCTAGGGGGATGACCAGCTAGTCTTTATTGTTTATTTTATTTGTTATTGATGTGACCTTGACACACCAGGATTGAAGCCAAACCACAGAGCATGCTGCAGTTTCACCCAAAAGTGGTGGTTTTACTTTTCCCTTTCTTTTTTTTTTAAGATATTTTTATCAATTTCAGAGAAGAAGGAAGAGATAGAAACATCAGTGATGAGAGAGAATCATTGATTGGCTGCTTCCTGCACACCCCACACTGGGGTTCAATCGAGCCCACACCCCAGGCCTGTGCCCTGACTGAGAATCGAACCATGAGCTCCTGGTTCGTAGGTCGATGCTCAGCCACTGAGCCACGCCGGCCGGGCTACTTTACCGTTTCTTGGCGGCCCAGTGGGTCATTAGCGAGAGGCCCAATGAGTGCTTTTAAAAGGGGTGCCTAGTATTTACGTCGAAAACTCACAGGACCTTTATACAATGCTTTTCTGTGTTTGCAGTTAACGTGCCAGGCTTTTGTTGCACTTTGTGCATTCTGTGCATGTTGGTAAGAGGTGTTTGTCACAAGCACAGACCAGTCTGAGAAGAACAGGCATTGGCATTATTCCGGGCCAGTTGCAGTGACAGCAGTAGCCTCCGTTCTTGACGTGCTGTCGCTGTAGAATGCAGTGTCTGGTAAACGTCTGAGGGTAAAAGCAAGAGCCGCCTGCCACGTCCTGGCTGCCCGAGCGCACTCAGCACACACCCGATGCGGTGAGAGCGTGGTGCCCGTAGGGCACATGTAAGTGATGATAAGCGACGCCTGTGTGTCATCATCATTGCTCCGATGGTGCACACATTAAGCACAATTTCCCTGTGATTTCACGAAATTGGCTTCTGTGTAGTTATGCCTGAAAATAGGCTTTTCAGTGGAGCTCACCCTGGAATACAGTCTGAGAGGAGATGCATTTCAAAGGACTTGGAAATGTTATCCTGTTAATATAATCACACTCATTGGGTGAAGTACATTTTGAGTGATGTTTAGGCATCTCAGGTGACAATGGTGGGAGAAGTGGGTAGGGAATTGCCCGGTTAAATGACTGCATCCTCACTTTTCTCTCCAGGGGGGGCCTGGTTCATCGGGGGCCAAAGGAGAGAGTGGTGACCCAGGTCCGCAGGTAAAAACAATTTCTGTCACTTCTTTCATTTTTGACTTGTTGTTGTTGTCAAGTAGGATAATGGGAGTGTCTGCCACTTGTGTTATGAGGAAAGAAATTACTGACACTACCTTGAAGCTCACATCATCTCATTTCACTGGGAAATCCTTCGTGGCCAGTTGACTGCCAATGGCTTGATTAATTTGAGCAAATAAGAGATGCACATTCAAATGATCATATTCATTGAAAACTAACAAGATTTGTCCTGCTGTTAATTGCCCCTTGCCTGCCAGCTGGGTACAGACAGGGTAGGGTCCTCTCTCTGCAATGATTTTTTTAAAAGCTGCATTCTCTTAACCTCTAAGTATTAGACACCCTTAACTTTATACTTTTTATAATCAGTATTTTACAGTGATCATGAAATTATTTGTCATTTCAAATGTGCTACATTTTCTACCAGAAGATATGCATGCTGTTTAAATTAATTTTAATTATTTATAGTTAGTTAAATATAAAAGCCTATGTAATATTTATACTGGAGCTGCATTTGATCTATGATTAGTTGTGTCATTTTATTTTAAAAAACGTGTATCGATCTCCACGGGAGACTTCATATGTAGATACAACATTGCATTGCACTGATTCAGGATAGAAACACATTGGGCATCTTCAGCCTTCACTCTGCTTGGCCTGGCTTGGTGCCAGTCAGGCATTTGCATTAGGGATCACCAGGCGTCCGCCGGCGTTCTATGGATGATTGAAAAAACCTGTGCTAGGCACGGCGCTGAGTTGGAAGAAGATAAAGGAGAAAAAGACAGATTTAGTCCGAAACTGCAACAGTTAACTCAATGGGAGAGTCAACTGTGAAAAATAGGCAATTATAACCCAGAGTGATAAATGAAATACAAGACTACCTAAGAGGAACTGCCAGGAATGAAGGGAAAGGTGTCAGAAACAAAAGAGGAATGAGATGGATGGGTTAGGGGTGTTTTAAGTCCAGGGAAATACAAAACCCTCAGGTTTTGAGGGGTGGGGAATGAATAATTAAGGATTTTTTAAAAGTTTAAAGTATTACTATGTTCCTTTTGTTTAAATGAAGATGAATGCTTACATAAACTTAATAAAATAATATGACTCTTTTCTGCAAGAAGTCATTTCGAAAAATTGATTCACTTGTCTTTTAGTTTATCTGGATTTTTGCATAAGCACTGATTTTCTTGTGTTAAACCGATTAAGACCTAAAATAAAGAGAAAAAGATATCAATTCAGAAAATGATTAAGGTGAAGTTAATTGGGTATAAACTCCTAAAACCATGTCTGTCAATGTGATTGAGTTTATGGGTCAGGAATTTTAGAAAATGAATTAATTGCGATGTTTTGGTACAGGGCCCTCGTGGTGTCCAAGGGCCGCCTGGTCCGACGGGGAAACCTGGCAAAAGGGTAAGGTTGGCGTCTGTGTGTATTTTGAGGGATTCTGAAGTCATCGGCTCTGTTGTCGTACTTTCCTCTGTGCTCGTCGGAAAATACTAGCTTTTGGTTAATCATGTTCTTGGCATTATCAGGGTCGTCCAGGTGCTGATGGAGGAAGAGGAATGCCAGGAGAACCTGGGTCAAAGGTCAGGAGCTCAGCTGTTTATATATTCAGATCCTGTCTGTCAGTGCAGCCCTCAGATTTTGTGCAGATTTTGTGTTTTAAAATATCTTTCTTGATATAAAAGATTATGTCACAGTGAAATTATCCCACAGAATGAAACTGAAAATGTGATGATGATGGTGGTGGTGGTGGTGATTGTGATGGTGATGATAGTGATGATGAAGATTGTAATGCTGATTTGGTGGTGGTGGTGATTGTGATGGTGATGATAGTGATGATGAAGATTGTAGTGCTGATTAGATGATGATGATGATGATGATTTTATAGGGGGATCGAGGATTTGATGGACTTCCAGGTCTGCCAGGTGACAAAGGCCACAGGGTAAGATATACCATTCTGTTACTTTTTATATAGAGATAATACAAGAATATTAGGAAATACTTTAGAATTGATAAACTCTAGGAAATTAGAAGAAAATTTAATATTTGTAAATCCAGTTATTAAGTCACAACACCTACTTGATACTTAAAGAAAGATAGGTAGAATTACACAGGCAGTATTAATATAAGTTCTTTGTTTTTAGATTTTCAAATCCTCATTTTATATAAACATAAGTTGAGACGGAATTTTTATTTATATGTATGTAGAAAATATAATTATAGAAGAACAATAATTTAGGGATTTAATTTTGCCTTCCATTTTTCTTATAATTGCCTTAATTTTTCCTTTAGCCTTACATTTTCCACTTGTAGAAATATACTCAAAAGAAGACATTTGTGGGCAATCTGTTATTAGTATAACAATATACTGGACACTCTTTTATTACACACTAAATGAGAGGCTTCTGGCAGACAGAGACACCACAGCTGTTTCTTTGCTATAATATAACCTTGCACGCCAACGCAGGGGCTCATCACTGGGTAGGGCTAAATAAACGCCACTGTGAACAGCAATCCAGGAGGTCTTTTTAGTGGGATATTAAGCAGTCAGTCTCTCTCTCTTAAAAAAAAAATCAGTTTTGGATCTTTACATTTTTCTTTCCTAGAAGTTAAGAATGAAGGTAGCATAACCTTTAGGTAAATTGGAGAATATATTTTAAAAAGAAAGAAGGAAATAAAGAAAAGAGGAAGGAAGAAAGGAAGGAAGGTTGTCTAGCAAAATAATGTATGCATACCACATGTCAAGAGAAATACATAGTTTTGCTTTTAAAAAAATCCCAAATTCCATTAGTATTCTAGAGTTGTGCTGATTTAATATGAATTATTTTAGAAGCAGAAAAATTTTAAAGGAAATTAAAATCACCAAAGTGTATCCATGTTTGAAATAATTTTCAGCAAAATAATATTTTAACGGTTTACCTTATAATAATCCCACGTCTGGAAATGATTTTGAGTGTTTAATTTAAACCTTTTTGTTTTGAAAACCAAGGGACTGTTTCCCTAGCATACTAAAGGACACCAGTTCATGTAGATTATGATGGTTTGCCTGTGAGGTGCTCAGAGTTGGGTACTGAAGCGAAGGCCCCCTGCCCAAGGCTCTGTTCCGTTGGTAGGAGAGCTGCAGAACAGACCTCTAAGCCGTCTGCTTTATTTCACATTCGAATTGCATTTGTGTTGATTTACTAGGGTGAACGCGGTCCCCAAGGCCCTCCCGGCCCTCCTGGCGAAGACGGAATGAGGGTACATGCAACTTTATTTTTTATGGAAATGTTTACAACTAGACATAAGAGAACAGATCACCTAGAAACGACACATTGTCTAATGGTGCTTCCCTCCCACTCATTCTGCAACGACAGGGGGAAGATGGAGAAATCGGACCGCGGGGTCTCCCAGGGGAAGCTGTAAGCATCTTGCGTACTTTGTAAATCACACCCCATTTTGGAGGGATAGTGAGTGGGGCTGCCCCCCTCCCCCTAAGGTCAATGACTAAGGCTGGTGACTATTAATTACCTAATTAACCAGGTGATTATTATGTAAAATAATTAAAGGATACATTGTGCTTTTCTGTTATCAGTTCTCAGACACTGGAGAGACAAGACATGTAAAATATAACATCTTGTCAGACAAAAACCCTTATCTGGTTTTGGTTGCTGTTTCATTGTTTTGTTTCATTTTTTAAAAAAATATCAGTAGTAGCTCTGGAATCTATTTGGGCATTTAGGATCAATGAAGCTTATTACCAGAAAAACACTACGACATGAAGTGCTCAGTATGCCAGATAAAAGAATGAATTGGGAAGCTTTACCCAACGCTAGTTCACCAAAGAACCAGACGGGAGGCAGGCCTACGCCCATGAAGGGGCGTGTCTGTGTCAACCTAAAATGATAATATGACTCTTTCTCTGCAAGGAGCCACTTAGGGGAGAAAAATGATTCTCGTTTCCTGCTTGATCTGGACTTTTACATAGAAATGATTTGCCACTTACAGAGCCCGTTGGCTCAAAGGCAGGAGAGCTGAGAGAATATGAGGAACAGTGAGCTATTGTGTTGACTTTTCAAAGGGAGGGAACCCCAGCAGATGGAGGGGGAGGAGAGAGGAGGAGAGTTGATTAAGATTAAACAAAAATAATTTTTAAAACATCTCGGGGAAATGGTTGTACCATCTGTGCACATAGTTACCGGAGTGCCTTCCCTCCGGGGTGGTCTCTCAGGAGGGACCTAACCCCGATGTGAAACAGATGAGAACCGGGCCGTCTCCGTGGAGCAGAAACACGAGGTTTAATCCGGATCTGTGCTGCCATCCGGTCGAAGGGACCCGGCAGTGACACACTTACAGCATGAGGCTATTTCCTATTTAAAAAATATCCCAAGTGGTTCCTACGGAAATGCCCAGAAACAAAGATACGCGGTTCCTGCAGCAGAGACTCGCTGCCGTCCACCCCGGCTTCCGGGTCAGGTCAGCGCTGACCGTGTGCCAGGGAAACGGGCTGAGAGGCCACCCCCGTGAGAGAGGACGGAAGGTCTCTACTCGGAGCATTAGGTTCAGTGCCTTCCAGGGTGGGGCCTGCTGGGGGAACATTTCTTAGGAGGATGAGCCTTTCCTTTGTATGTTTCCTTCCAGGGCCCGCGGGGCTTGCTGGGGCCTCGGGGCACCCCAGGACCTGTGGGGCAGCCTGTGAGTATGGCCGCCCTGCTGGGGGTGGGGCCGCCGTGGTGGGGGTGGGGCTGCCA